TCGTCAGGCCCTCCTGGCCAGAGCGACCTTGAGGGCTGGGTCCCTGAGCTGAGCACACAGCAGTGCCGGGACTGCAGCGAGCGGGCTGGTCCGCCTGCCCATCACCGGCCGGCACACGTGTCTAAAAATTCCACTTTTGGCCCAGCCCGTGTGGCTCAGTGGTTGTGCGTGGACCCACGAACCAGGAGGTCACGGTTCCTGATCAGGGCACAGGCCCAGGGTGCAGGCTGGATCCCCAGTGGGGGGCGTGCAGGAGGCAGCCGATTGATGATTCGCTCTCATCATTGACTCTTTCTCCTCTCTCTCCTTCTCCCTTCCTCTCTCTGAAATAAATTAAAACATATTTTTAAAAATATGTTGGAATTCTAATCCCTATTATCTCAGAATATCATCTTATTTGGAAACAGGGTCCTTGTAGAGTTTACCAAGTAAAACAAGGTCATTAGGTTGGCTCTAATGCAACATGTCTGGAAACATTATGTGCTTACTTTTGTTATATGTGCTCTTATATATCTTTCTTGTGTTCTTTCTTTCCACTTTCCTCTTGTGCACAATTTCTAAAAAAAAAAAAAAAAAAAAGAAGCTTTTAAGCAAATTCCATTTTTAGAGCCGCGCGCGTCTCAGTCAGTGAAAGGGAAACGTAGTGAATGAGTCACCGGCTTCCTGTGCGTAAGTGGGTCACAGCCGGAGACCTTCGGAGTTTCTCACAGGCGCTGGGGCGCTTGCCATCGCGGTGCTGAGGAGCCCCCACCCGGGGCAGGGTTGGCCCCGCTTTTCAGGGGTCGCAGAGCAGGGCTGGGGCCATGGCTCCATGCACCAGGGGGTGCCCGTCTGCACCCCTGCCCCCCCCACCCCGGGGACGGGAGGAGGCCAGGGAAGAGCTGGCAGAGGGACAGGAGAGCGAGGTGACAAGAGAATAAGGGGTGTGCGGAGGGTCTCCAGCGGGCGCGCCCCGGGTGGGGGCCGGGAGGCCGCAGTTGATCCCTCGGTGCCCCCCTCACGGCGACACGGCCAACCGAGGCCTCACTGCCCTGCAGGAATTCTGCTCAAATCCAACTCATCTCAGGGCGGCCGGGCAGCTCAGGCTCACCCACCGTGGACGGGGCGGCCAGGTCTAGGGGGCGGGAGCAAGCAGAGGTGTGGGGAACCCCCAGGAGGTGGCCTAGTGACAGAGCCTAGAAGGCTGCCCATCAGCCAAGCCGCACCGACAGGCAGGCACGGGGTGTGGCCGAGGGGATGGGTGGGGAGCGCAGGGCTGGGCCAGGACCAGCTGAAGTGCAACCCAGTCTCAGCCTCGAGGGAGTCACTCCAGGCCCCACAGCGCAGTCCATGGGCCAGGACACGCGGACACACTAACCCTCCCCCGTGGGCCCAGGAGGCCT